ATATTTACTTGGAAACCTGCCTTTTGTCAAGATTCATGTCAATTGTTTTATGGCCCAGGATGACTCACCTTGTGCCAATGGTCTCTCAAAAGGCATGTTGTGGGTGAGGGGCCTGGTGACAGTCTCTGAGTTTTGAGACATTCCCTTTCTCTAATTAGTAGCCTGATGGTTGCTGTATAACACCTGACTAAAGACTAGCAGGGGTGTACTCTTTCTGCCCTCCTCTGATGTCTATGACAGAAGCTTTCCCCATCTCTTTTCTATTTTAATAAAACTTTTTTATGCAAAAGCTCTGAGCGATCGAGCCTCATCACTGGCCCCGGATTGAATTCCTCTCCTCTGGAGGCCAAGAATCCCGGCGTCTTTCATGGCTCAGCAACAGCCTTTCAGTCTGATGTTTGAACAGCCACCACCATCATTCACAGTACAGTGCGCACAGGCAACAGGGGATTTTGGCCCTACTGGATCTTCAAGGGAGGTAAGGGATTCAGACTGAAGGCTGGAGGTGTTAATATAGCCCGAGAGGAGTGAGATGTGCCTGTGGCTCTGCTGTGCCAGCCCATTCATTATGGCCTTCAGCTCTGATGCTTCAGGTTCAGGGCTTCTCCTCTCTGGGAGAGTGGAAACTATGGTCATTCAGCAAGGGGACAATAGGCTTCCAGGACAGACCTGCCTGTTTTCTGTTTAAAGTTCACACTCAGCATGGCTCCATCCGGACCCAGGTCAATCAACCCTCAGTAGGGCCAGGCTTTCTTCCCATGCCCAGGCTGGGTAACGTCAGAGCCTTGCTGTACCAAGCAAAGGCACTGGGGCCAGACCTGTCACCCATGCTTTCCCACCAGGCTGGATCCTGTGCTGAACTCAGGGGCACCACGCAGCAGCTCTGTCATGAATGGACCTGCTGCTCCACTGGAAGCTCTCTGGGTGTCCCAGGAGACAATGGAGGGAAACACCTTCTCTCTGCTGAGCCCTGCACTGTGGACATGGGAGGGGCTTCTGGACGACGTCCAAACTGTGGGAAAACACACACTGTGCAGTCTCCTGGGCAGGCAGAGGAAATCCTGCTAGATGCAGTTCACTATGTTTTTACAGCTCCTGTAGCTATGCAGAAGCCCCATATCAAATTGAAGGCCTAGGAGAAACTACCCCTGACAACCAGATTCCATCCCAGAAACAGCAGTTCCCAATTCTCAGTCCTAGATGAAAACCCTAGCATTTCTGGTTGGTAACCACCAGTTAACTCACGTGCCCAAGAGCACAGCCACAAATATACCTGATGACTCCCAAATCTGCATCTTTGATCTAAATCTCTCCTAAGCTCCAGTTTCAGATGTGTACCCCAAGCACTCCAAACCTAATATATCTAGAACTGAGCTCATACCAGGGGAAGAAGTTCAGGGAGACTCCACGGACAAGGTGTGCATGCTAAATTGCTTCAGTTGTGTCCGACTCTTTGTGACCCTATGGACTATAGCCCACCAGGCCTCTCTGTCCATAGGCATTCTCCAAGCAAGAATACTGGAGTGAGTTGCTATCCCCTCCTCCAAGGGATCTTCCCAACCTAGAGATTGAACCCACTTTTCTTCTGTCTCCTGCATTGGCATGCAGGTGCTTTGCCACTAGCGCCACCTGGACGTGAAGCCCTTAAATTGCACTTTGCAGGAGTTCAGTTCAGTTCAGTGGCTCAGTCGTGCCCGACTCTGCTACCTCACAGACTGCAGCACACCAGGCTTCCCTGTACATCACCAATTTCCAGAGCTTGCTCAAACTCATGTCCATAGAGTCGGTGATGCCATCCAACCATCTCATCTTCGGTCGTCCCCTTCTCCTCCTGCCTTCGATATTTCCCAGCATCGGGGTCTTTTCCAGAGTCAGTTCTTTCCATCACGTGGCCAAAGTATTGGAGTTTCATCTTCAGCATCAGTCCTTCCAATGAATATTCAGGACTGATTTCCTTTAGGATGGACTGATTTGATCTCCTTTTAGCCCAAGCCACTCTCAAGAGTCTTCTGCAACACCACAGTTCAAAAGCATCAATTCTTCAGTGCTCAGCTTTCTTTATAGTCCAACTCTCACATCCATTCANATTGATATTTCTCCCAGCAATCTTGATTCCAGCTTGTGCTTCATCCCGTCCAGCATCTCTAGTTGCAGGAGAGAGGGAGGCAGAAATGGGACAGGGAATGGATAGAAATGGAAACAGATTTGAGAAAACTTTAGATGGTAGAATCAATAAGGCCTGGAGATTGGACAGTTGTGGCAGTGGGGTCAGGTTAATAAAGAGGAATTCAACAAGATTCAGCAATACACTTTAAATATTATTTTTATCATTGATAATATATGCACATGTTCAATATTTAAAGACTGCCAAAAAAAAGTATAAAATGAAAAGTCAGTCTCTCCTTCCCATGTCCATCCCTAGATTGGGTCCACTAGGAGCCATGAAATGCATAATGCCCTGAAGCTGACAACACACCACGAAGCTCAACACACATCAAATGTACCACCTTGCAATTAACTAGTATTCTGCTCCTAAACATTCAAGTTGCTCCTAAACTTCTGCTCTAGTGAATATAGTGAATGTATATGCATGCTGCTGCTAAGTCACGTCAGTCGTGTCCAACTCTGTGCAACCCCATAGACGGCAGCCCACCAGGCTCCCCCGTCCCTGGGATTCTCCAGGCAAGAATACTGGAGTGGGTTGCCATTTCCTTCTCCAATAGACATTCAGTGACTACCAAATGGCTTCAAACAAGAAATAGAAATAGAGAACAGAATTGGCTTTGGGCACTCCTGGGTGCCATATAGAAAGGAAAAGCAGAAGCTAAATAAAGAAGTGCAGAGACTTGAAGTCNTATGCATACACATATGCATATATATATATACATATATTATATATATGTATGTATGTCAGTAAGATGAATTTGTTGAGGTGAAACTGTGGACCAAAAGTATATGCGTTTCTAGTTTTGGTTGACAGATATGGCTGAAGTGCCCTCTACAATGACTATACCAATTTACATCCCCACCAGCAACATAGGAGAGAACTTTTTCCTCCAATCCTCCCACACACAGCATATTATCAACTTTAGATTTTTGCCAATCTTATCAGTGAAGAATGATGGTGTCATCATATATTTTAAATTGTGTATTTCTCATTATGGGGAGGTTGAATATCTTTTCATGTGTGTAAAAGTCACCTACTGGGCTTCTGTGCTGCAGCTGCTGAGGCCCAAATGCTCTAGAGCCTGCGTTCCACAAGAGTAGCCCCTGCAAGAAGCCCATGCCCTGCAACCGGAAAGTAGCCCCTGCTCCCCACAGCTAGAGAAAAGGCCCCTCAGCAACGAAGGCCCAGGAGGGCCAGATTAATTAATTAATTAACTCTTTTAAAGAAAAGAACAAAACATCATTGAGCTGGGGAACAACTTCAAGTGGCCTGATCATTGCGGAATTGGAGTCCTCCACACTGGGTTAGGAAGATCCCCTGGAGGAGGAAATGGCAACCCATTGCAGTATTCTTGCCTGGGAAATCCCATGGACAGAGGAGCTTGGTGGGTCACGGTCCATGGGGGGGGTCACAAAGAGTCAGAAATGACTGAGAGACTGAAACAACAAACAGTAAAACAAAAGGATGCAGAGAGGCAGACAAAAAAATTTTTTTGAAAAAATGATGGTCACATTATTTCTCATCACTCAGGATATTCCCCCATCATAGTCCCTCATCACTCAGGATATTCCCCCATCCCAGCCTCCCATCTTCAGGGCTGCAAGTCCATCCTAGCCCCTCGTCCTAGCCCCTCTTCACTCAGGAGAGCCTCACCTGCAAGCAGAATGACCTCAGAGAGGGGTTCAGGAACCAGGACAAAAGTGAAAACATTTTGGGAGATTCTGAACCCTGTATTTCTCCTTTCTTCTCCCTTCTTTGCTTGTTTCCTGACAGTGAATTCTTCAATTCACAGGATGTGTTTCAGGAACACCAGGAATGGGAGCTGGGGAGATGGTGTTCTATTCCCATAAGAAGAAAAAATGGGCGATCCCGGAGACAGAAGCAGCGTGGGCCCCTGGGCCTGCAGGAAAGGAGACAGAGGGACACGGACAGAGAGGGGGCCATGTGAAGGCTGAAATCTTGGTGGCTCCTTTCACCAGAAATCATAGTGTTTCCCAACAACAAAGCTACCAGAGGAGGAACATGGGACCTGGCCTTCCAGGAATGAACAATAACATGTCCTTCCTGAATGTTCACTGCGTTCTGGGAATCATGCACAAGTATTCTGTATCCTGTGATTGTCCCCATGGTCCTTGGGGCACGGTGGGAGGAGCTGGCACCCGCACTCAGAGGGAGAGCCTGTCCCTCTGAGTGGGACACAGAAGGGGTGTCCCACGGAGGGGTGGCCACACAGAAGCTACTGCAGAGGTTGGCAGAGCAGAGTGATGGGGAGAAACCCGCCCACTCTCCAAGCTGCTGGGGCCTTTAGTCAAACCCAATTCAGGGCAGGGGCAGTGCCACCCCACCCCCACCCCGAGCACACAGCAAGGCCAGAACAGCCTTTGTCAGAGTCCCTCCTGGTGACGCCAGACACATGGACCCGCTGACTCTGCAGTTCATCACAGTTTTGTCCAGAGCCCCACGACAGTGAGAGCCAAGCCTCCAGACAAGGAGGGTTCTCACCGAGAGGCAAGTTTGGGGGGACCCCAACCCCCACCTTCCTCCTCAGGAACTGCCCCCTCCCACAGCCTCCCAAGTCCAAGCCTGCATCTCACCTGGCCTCCCCTCCAGCCTCCCTTGTCCTGACCCCATCTGACCCTCCGCCCCTGCTCAGGCATGACCAGTCGCCAAAGTCCCAGTGACCTGGTTCTGGCAGTCTCTCTGGGTCCTCTCCGCTGCCATCCTGTGTCCTCTGCTGACTGAGGGCTGGACCAGGGACTTTCCTGGGGCCCCTTATCAATCAGTTCTGGGAGGAGCCTGGGTCCTGGGCACATGAGCAGCCACACTCAGCATAGTTCTATTCCCATAAGAAGAAAAAATGGGCGATCCCGGAGACAGAAGCAGCGTGGGCCCCTGGGCCTGCAGGAAAGGAGACAGAGGGACACGGACAGAGAGGGGGCCATGTGAAGGCTGAAATCTTGGTGGCTCCTTTCACCAGAAATCATAGTGTTTCCCAACAACAAAGCTACCAGAGGAGGAACATGGGACCTGGCCTTCCAGGAATGAACAATAACATGTCCTTCCTGAATGTTCACTGCGTTCTGGGAATCATGCACAAGTATTCTGTATCCTGTGATTGTCCCCATGGTCCTTGGGGCACGGTGGGAGGAGCTGGCACCCGCACTCAGAGGGAGAGCCTGTCCCTCTGAGTGGGACACAGAAGGGGTGTCCCACGGAGGGGTGGCCACACAGAAGCTACTGCAGAGGTTGGCAGAGCAGAGTGATGGGGAGAAACCCGCCCACTCTCCAAGCTGCTGGGGCCTTTAGTCAAACCCAATTCAGGGCAGGGGCAGTGCCACCCCACCCCCACCCCGAGCACACAGCAAGGCCAGAACAGCCTTTGTCAGAGTCCCTCCTGGTGACGCCAGACACATGGACCCGCTGACTCTGCAGTTCATCACAGTTTTGTCCAGAGCCCCACGACAGTGAGAGCCAAGCCTCCAGACAAGGAGGGTTCTCACCGAGAGGCAAGTTTGGGGGGACCCCAACCCCCACCTTCCTCCTCAGGAACTGCCCCCTCCCACAGCCTCCCAAGTCCAAGCCTGCATCTCACCTGGCCTCCCCTCCAGCCTCCCTTGTCCTGACCCCATCTGACCCTCCGCCCCTGCTCAGGCATGACCAGTCGCCAAAGTCCCAGTGACCTGGTTCTGGCAGTCTCTCTGGGTCCTCTCCGCTGCCATCCTGTGTCCTCTGCTGACTGAGGGCTGGACCAGGGACTTTCCTGGGGCCCCTTATCAATCAGTTCTGGGAGGAGCCTGGGTCCTGGGCACATGAGCAGCCACACTCAGCATACCTGCTCCCGCAGGTTTCAGGGACAATGTCAGCCTGTCAGATTCTGACACCCAGTTATGGTCAAAGACATGAAGAGTGACATTTGGGGGCCTCTTTCATCTTCCTGGAAACTGCTGGATGGATGCTGGAACCATTCAGAAGAACATCTTCCTCTGGCATCTTCCTCCTCACCCTCCTGGTTCTATTGGCTTCAGCTACAGAAAAAGCAAGAGGATTCCAGAAAAACATCTACTTCTGCTTCATTGACTAAGCTAAAGCCTTCGACTGTGGATCACAACTAATTGTGGAAAATTCTCAGAGATGGGAATATCAGACCACCTTACCTGCCTCCTGAGAAACCTGTATGCAGATCAAGAAGCAGCAGTTAGAACTAGACATAGAACAGTGGACAGGTTCCAAATAGGGAAAGGAGTACATCAAGGCTGTGTATTTTGTCACCCTACTTATTTAATGTCTATGCAGTGTACATCATGCAAAATTCTGGGCTAGATGAAGCACAAGCTGGGATCAAGATTTCTGGGAGAAATATCAATAACCTCAGATATGCAGATGACATCCCCCTTATGGCAGAAAGTGAAGAGGAATTAAAGAACCTCTTGATGAAGGTGAAAGAGGAGAGTGAAAAAGCTGGCTTAAAACTCAACATTCAAAAGACAAAGATCATGGCATCCAGTCCCATCACTTCATGGCAAATAAACGGGGAAACAATAGAAACAGTGAGAGACTTTATTTTGGGGGCTCCAAAATCACTGCAGATGGTGACTGCAGTCACGAAATTAAAAGATGCTTGATCCGTGGAAGAAAAGCTATGACAAACCCAGACAGCATATTAAAAAGCAGGGACATGGGGTTCAGCGAGCACGTAGAGTACACCATCCTGCCCCCCTCCACCAGCTGCTCAGCTCCCCGCGTTGCAATCTGCAGCTGTAAACTAAGGGCCAGACATTAGGTCACCTTGAGACCAAGCACCACCATGTGCCACACACATCACAGGCACCTACTAGAGCAGGTGTTTAGTATGTATAGCTGATGACAGACGCACAATAAAACGCTCTTTGTAAAGTGAACAGCACTCATATATACACCTTTTAAGGTTCTAAACAAAGTTAGGGTAAACCTATTTAAGGTGCTCCCTGCTGATTAAAAACAAGAATCCCCAAGCCCTGCACTGTCCCTCCTCCCCTTGCCACTGGTAACCGCAAGTTTGCTCCTATATCTGCGAGCCTGATTTGTGCCTGTGTGTGACGTCACGAGTTCGCTGTATTGTTTAGATCCCACATGTGAGCGGCATCACGGGGCATGTTACCTGCCTGGCTGACCACACCTAGTATGATCATCGCCAAGTCCATCCATGTTGCTGCAAATGGCACAATTTCGTTATTTTTAAGGCATCCCAATATCCGAGGTAAAATTATGGAGAGAATTTGAGAAACCAGCTGAATTATTACAAAACTTGCCCTTTTCAAAATGACAATGAAATTAATAAAACTGGGAAGTTGAGGAGACAGAAGCTACCAGGAAGTACCTGTAGAAACCCTTCATCTCCCATGGGGGAAAGCAACCGATACCCATAAAACCAGAATGTGCCATTCACAAAAATAGTGTCTCCAATCTTTTAAAAGACTTTCCTTTTCTTCATAGGGCTCTTCACAGGAGAAATACCTTTTAGAATATCAGGATTTTTAATGTAACTCCATTAAAATAAAATTTTTTTCAACCTAAAAAAAAATTAAAATAAAAAGCAGGGACATTACTTTGCCAACAAATGTCCATCTAGTCAAAGCTATGGTTTTTCCAGTAGTCATATATGGATGTGAGAGTTGGACTATAAAGAAAGCTGAGTGCCGAAGAATTGATGCTTTTGAACCGTGGCGTTGGAGAAAACTCTTGAGAATCCCTTGGACTGCAAGGAGATCCAACCAGTCCATCCTAAAGGAAATCAGTCCTGAATATTCATTGGAAGGACTGATGCTGAAGCTGAAACTCCAATACTTTGGCCACCTGATGCGAAGAACTGACTCATTTGAAAAGACCCTGATGCTGGGAAAGATTGAAGGCAGGAGGAGAAGGGGATGACAGAGGATGAGATAGTTGGATGGCATCACCAACTCTATGGACATGAGTTTGAGTAAGCTCCAGGAGTCGGTGATGGACAGGGAAGCCTGGACATGCTGCAGTCCATGGAGTTGCCAAGACTCAGACACGACTGAGCGACGGAACAACAATTTTGCAAGTTAAGTGCATCCACTTTTTTAATTTTGCTTCTTTATTTATTTTTGGCTGCACTGGATCTTCATTGCTACACATGGGCTTTCTCCAGTTGTGGCAAGCAGGACCTACTCCTCCTTACAGTGCGCAAGCTTCCTGTTACAGTGGCTTCTCTTGTTTCAGAGCACAGGTTCAGGTGCTAGGGCCTCAGCAGTTGCAGCATGTAGGCTCAGTAGTTGCAGCTTGCAGGCTATATAGCCTGAGCTCAGTCATTGTGATGCACAGGTTTAGTTGCCCTGAGACATGTAGAATCTTCCCAGACCAGGGATCATACCCATGTCCCCTGCACTGGAAGGTGGGTTCTTAACCACTGGCCCACCAGGGGAGTCCCAAATGCATCCACTTTTTCTTCCTCCATTAGTAAGCTCTTATTTTTAACCATTTAAAAAGCTCTAATGAACCACATGTACAATTTGTATAAACAGTATAAGCCTTGTGGTTAAAAATTACATTTAAAAGCCTTATAGACAGGTGCATCATTCAGAAAGTCCTTCTGCTTCTCATCAAATAGCAGTAAATATGAAGGGGTGATTTAACTGTGGTAACTGGAGCATGCCTTTATCATCTCAGCGCTACTTGGTACCTTGGCTCCACCTACATGTGCTACAATGACTCAGAGTGAAAACCAAAGCCTCACCTTGTCCCACCCAGCTCCACAGGGTCTGTCCACCTCCACCCTCCCCTGCTCTCCCTCGAGTCCTCCATCCCTCTCTCTATCAGGCTAACTTGGGCCTCCTCGCTATTTCTCACACATCTCAACACCCCCCCGACCCCCGCCCTGCTCCTGCTCATCTATGCCTCCCTGTCGGGAACTCCTGCTCGCCAAGAGGACTCCCAACTTCCCTCCACTCAGAATTCCGCCCATGGGGAAAGGATGGGTCTGTTTTGTCAGAAGCTAGACCAGCCACTAAGGGGATGGGGGTGTGGGGGGAGCCTCTGCATTGATAACGCTCCTTACTCCATCCCTCAGATCTGTCCCCACAAGGTGCCTGCCAAGGGACCGCCTCTCTTTTTATCTTTCTGAGATCTCTGATTGGGTTTTTGTAGTGTCGTGAGCTGGTGGCTGCCCGCCTGCTCCTCAACACACTTCCCACACCCTTCATGACCACCCAATCCCCCAACCCACTGGCCCACCAGTCATCCACCGGCTCTGCTTTCCAGAATCTTCAACAGCCCCAGCAGCATCAGTCTCCCAAAAGCACTTCCTGTGTAGTCACAGCCTGCTGTCTGGGGCTTGGGGGACATCAAGAGGTCAGGAGTGCCCCTCCCTCCATGAGGACCCAACCAAATCCAGTTAATCTTCCCACCACGGGTGACATACTCTTGATCCTGTTGCTTTCCAAGACAGAAGATGGTTCTGGGAGGCATCCAAGGATTCACACCTGACCACACCCCAGGGATTCTTCTTGGTTTCTGTGATCCGGATCCCTCAGCGGCATTTGATGCCTTCTGGAAACTGGTTCTCTGGCTCCCTTACTGTTGCTTGGGGTCCTCCTTCCCTATGTTGGAACCCTTGGGGTGGCTTTGCCCTAAGTCCTCTTTGCTCCCCACTCAACACATCCTCTGAGACCATCGTCCACTCCCACAGTGTCACCCTCCATGAAGGGACACGCCAGGGGCTCCCCCATCCAGAACCCAGCCCAGACTTTTCATAATAACACTGACCATACCCACTGTGTGCCAGGCTCAGGAAGCTGTGTGGATGATCTCATCCCATCCTCCCAAGGCCCTGTGTAGACCAGGACCCTACCTGTGCAGAGGCCACATACTTGTCGGAGGTCACATCACACGTGACTAGGCTGGGATTGAACCCAGGTGACCCCCTACAGCACCAGCACCCCTTCACTGTGCAGAAGTCCGCACAGAGAACACCCCGGTCAAGCTCTGCACCAACCCCTCCAGGGGATGTTACCTGGGCTGATGTGCATGCGTAAGATGGAGGCACGTCTGTAAATGTCTCAATGGGTCTAGAGGACGAGGGACAAATTCGGGACAGACACCGACGCTTGCATGCTGGTCATGGGTGGACTGGCTGGACTGTCAGCATGAGTGCAAGTGTCGTTCTCAGAGAGCACAGCCCTGAGCTTACCACACATACCCAAGACCACAGAGGCTCTGCAGGGGCTGCCTTTGATGTCTTTGTGTCTGATCTCTGTGTGAATCTGTTGTCTCTCTGAGTATGTCAGTCTGACAGCTGTCAGACTCCACTGGTGTCTAACTGACTGCTCCGTTGTGTTGACAATGACCTGGGACATCAATGCTCCACATTCTAACCCAATTAAATCTGAGCTCCTTGGTGGGGTGATTTTAAGGCCAGTCTATGATGTTCAATCCCTGGGACAGGAAGATTTCCTGAGGAGGGCACGGCAACCCACTCCAGTATTCTTGCCTGGAGAATCCCATGGATAGAGGGGCCTGGCAGGCTATAGTCAATGGGGTCACAAAAAGTTGGACACAACTGAGGCAATTGAGCACACACAGCATGTGCACATTATGAGATTTGCTCTGACCCCATGAGGGCTCTTGTAAGTGTCTCTGTCCCCACTTATCTCTGGTGGGAAATCCAACTGCCTGAGGTTTAACTTCCGCTCTCATGGAGCTGCCAGCCCCCTTTCATGCTCACCTCCAGTGCAGAGCTGCCAGTCGCTTTTCACTGCTCACCACCAAAATTCCCACGGTTCTCGAGAGCTCCCTTAGACTTGGACTTCCCTACACTATCTTCTAAATCAAGTAAGTTCCTATGGAGAGAGCTTCAGAGCTGCCTGTCCTTACAGTTGCCTCTGCCCTTGGAAAGATCTCTGACCCACTCTCCTGGAGCTGGAGTTGTGGACAGTAGCGTAACACCCTCACTTATGAACAGCATATTGGGTGGGGGCAGCAGCTTCTGGTCTTCTCCATTCACCTCTCCTGGCAAAAGTCTCCACTGTACAGGTGAACGGAAGTGTGAGCACGCTGAGCCTGGGGTGAAGCCCCCTCTTAACCATCAGTGAGGTCTGGCCAGGGAGAGGGAGGCCTGACATCTCAGCCATTCATGCTTGGAATTTAGTCTCTGTAACACGGAGCTCGGAGTGGAGGGGATGAGAAATCCTGGCCCTCCCAGGAAAACACTACATCGGGATTCCTTTTCTAGAAAGTAGAGAGACATGGCATCCCTTTGTATGGAGCTGAGGGAAGAGGGACAGAAATGCACACACATATACACACAAATGTACACACACACATTCCTTGTGTGGTCTGGCACCCAGGACCCTCCATGTCCTAGAAAAACTCATGAATAAGTGAAAAGGTGGGGCCAAAGGACTGACAGAGCATGCAAAGCTGTGACCAGGAGACCAGGCTCAGGGGAAGGGAGGCAGCAAGCCAGGGCTGGACAGGACTAGACTGAAGGTCTGAGGTCTCAGTGGGGTCAGGGGTCACTAAAAAAACTAAAGTTAGCATAGTGAAGAAAGTGTGCTGGAGAGCTAAAAGGGTGGTCAGTGGCTCAGTGCCAGGCCCACAGTTACGAGGGTCTCCAGTCTTGGTAAGAGAGGGGTCTTCAGCCAAGAAGCACCATTCGACAGCCATGTGCACACAAGAGTAGCGTCTTGGTTCAGCTCTGGGGGCCTGGGCTCTCAGCAGACTCGGGAAGTGAGAATCCCTCGGGCACGGAAGACACACACAACCTCCAGGGGCTCCCCACACAGGGTGTGGCCAGAGCCAGCCAGGGGCTGGGCTGCACCCCCTCCGCAGCTGCAGGGCCCCCCAGGGCACCATCTGAGAAGAGAACCAACATTGTAAAGGCTTGAGATGGTCTGAAACCCAAAAGCACCGCCCCTCCGTGCCTCCACAGGTTATCTCATCAGCAGATGTCCAGCTCCACAGATGACCGGCAGAGACCTGCGTGGTGGGAGATGCTCCAGAGGCACTGTGGACTCACGTTGAGATCACAGCCTCTGTTCCTCGGCAGAAGCTGCCCCAGGAACCAGAAGTGCCAGGAGATTCCCATCCTGTCCCTGCACCTGTGGGCATCTACACCTGTGAGCACCTGCAGGGAACCAGCAAGCTCAGGGGACCCCCTGCACCTCTGGGCAGGAAGAGGAGCAGGGCCTCTGAAGGACATAGGGACTGCCCTGCTAGGTTCTCTCCACATCCACTCCCAGCCACGGCCGCACTTCTGGGCCCCAGCAAGAGGGTGCTGAAGTCAATCGCCCACACTCGAAAGCATCGGCTGCAGAACTGGACCGCCACCAGGGACCAGCGAGAGGCTTGCGGACAAAGCGCCTCCACCAGCTGCTCCCAGGTGAAGTCTCCCCTCCATCCTCAAAGCACAGGGAGCCAGTGGGAAGCACAAAACCTCTGAGAGCTGGATAGCAGATCCCTCCCACCTGCCCACACTCCCCTGGTGGGAGGCTCTCTTTGCTGCTCTGACCTCTGACCTCCTGGAGCCTCAATCACTCCCTGTCTGTAAAATGGGCCTGGGGGACTTGCCATTTCTACGAGGCCGGGCAGGGTCTCTGGGAATTCCCTGAAATAAAACTGGAAACCCCAGAAGTAGCAGGTCTCTTTACTCACAGAAAGCACAGCACAGCAGACAGCTCAGCCAGGAGAGCGCACAAGGCCCCTGCTCACAGAGGCCCATTGTTCACAGAGTGGCCCGTGACCGAGGAGGCCCACACCAGCTGCGGCCACGGACAGCAGGTCGCAAGCTGTCCTGCGGCACCTTGGAACCCCCAGTTCAGTTCTGTCTTCCAGATTCTCTCTAGGTGGGCTCCCCATCAAGAGGACCCAAGGCCTGCAAAGCGAGGACCCACAAAAGCCCCCTCCCACACTCTTTACCACCCCAACCCCAGCCAGATGGGAATAGGCACACCTTTTCAGAGCGGTGCCACTGTGGTAGGGCCAGGGCCCGGGGGTGGCGTCAGAGTGGGAGGTGGAGCCAGAATAGGAGGTGGGGTCAGGGCTGGGGGTGGAGTCAGAGTGGGAGGTGGGGTCAGGGCTGGGGGTGGAGTCAGAGTGGGAGGGGAAGTCAGAATAGGAGGTGGGTCCAGGGCTGAGCATGAAGTCAGAGTAGGAGGTGGGGCCAGGACCAGGGGTGGGACCGGGACTAGGGGTGGAGTCAGAGTAGAAGGTGGGGTCAGGGCCGGGGGTGGAGTCAGAGTGGGAGGTGGAGCCAGAATAGGAGGTGGGGTCAGGGCTGGGGTGGGGTCAGGGCTGGGGGGTGGGGTCAGAGTGGTAGGTGGGGTCAGGGCCAAGAGTGGAGTCAGAGTGGGAGGTGAAGTCAGAATAGGAGATGGGTCCAGGGCTGAGCATGAAGTCAGAGTAGGAGGTGGGGCCAGGACCAGGGGTGGGGTCAGAGTGGGAGGTGGAGTCAGAATAGGAGNCCTTGCAGAACTTTCTTCCATCTCTCCGGGCATGGCCCCTCGGGCTCACCAGGCCCTCACAACACCTGGTCGGTGTGTTTGCTGCGCCACACCACCACACCAGTCATGGCGATGGTCAGCAGGACCGGCACGGTGATCAGCGGGATGAGAATTTCGTCTGGGGGGTCCTCCCAGTCTTGCCTGTCCACCGAGCAGTTTTGGAAGAACTGCCTATGGACGCCGGCGATGAAGCTCTCAGTCAAGGGGTTGGGCCAGTAGCAACCCACCACGTTGGTCTCCACCTCTGTGCAGTTGGTGAAGCTCTCATAGTACCTATGAAGGCAGAGGGTTTGACCATTCAGCTCCCCCACCCCTTCTCACTTTGGCCCTGACTTACAAGAAAGTGGGGGGGCAGTGCTGTGTGGCCACCGGTTCTCAGCATGGCCCCAGGCCACATTGGAAGAGTAGCCTCCTGCTACAACCTCTCTTGGGCCTGCTGGTCTGGCAATATCCATCCCCCTGGCGTCCTTGCCCTGAGGTTCTCTCACGTGGTGGCCCCATACCCTGCAAGAAACTCTAAGGCCATGAGCTCCCCAAAATATACCCCATGCCCCCATCTGCATCTCGTACATCATCCCTGCCCTCATCGTGGTCATCCACACTGTCACCTCCTCCCTACGAGGAAAGGAACTCCCAACACCCCAGGTCTGGACTCAGCCCCCAGGGTGCCAGTACCCCCAGGTCTTTCCAGAGGACACTCTGAGCCTGGGCTCTTTCTCCAAGACCAAAGGCCACAGCCCCTTGGCCTGCAGGGCCCTTCTCACCTAGGACCACTATATGGGCCTCCCAGGGGAGGAGATCTCTCTGAGACCAAGGGCCGGCTGTCTCCCAGTCAAGTTAACCTGGCTTCATTTACCTGACTGGGTGCGGGGAGGTGGGGGGGATCCCAACTGTGAGCTCAGCCCCAACCTGTCCTCCTCTCCGAAGTCACCTTCCTCAGCCCCCACCTGACTGGACACAAGGGACCCCCTCTGCCCAGGGTCTTCCTGTCTGTGTTGACCAAACCTGGAAAGGCACTTAGCAAGCCACGAATGAGGAGCCACGTCCATCAAACAGGTAGGCTCCTGATGGTCCGTGCGGCCAACCAAGGGTTACCGCTAGCCGTCCCCAGAATTCAACCCAAAAGCCCACTGACCGAGGTTTGCTGGCCTCTGGGGCTGCTGACCTATAGACTGGCAGCCATTGTTCAAGATGCTCTGGTCAGAGGGCTGGTTGAATATCTGCCTCAGTGTGCCAGCTCCGACCACTGCCCACCTGGCAAAGTGCTTCACACAGGACAGGTATGGGGCAGGAAGGGGTTCCTGCCTCAGCTCCCCACAGGAACTAGGCTTTGCACCCACCCTCCTCCTTCCGGTACTGACCCAGGAAGGGTGGTCTGAGCGACAGGAAGGAACTGCTTCCTGCAAGGAGCTTCCTGTCCACAACCTCATCTCTGCCTGGAAAGGCAGTGGGAAACAGGGCAGCGGATCCATTCAGCCAGACCCTTCGCCACTCCTCCTGGTAGCCCCGGAGCAACCGGTTTCCCAGCCCAAACATTTGGCTGGTTGGTCAGGCACACATCTGCCCGCATCCCTCTTATAACAGAGGCAAGGAAGAGCCACACAAGGCAAAAGAGGGCAGGAAACAAAGGCGACAGCCTGGAATCCACGTGCAGGGCTGTGATGTGGTCCTTGGGATGGGTCCAGGCTCTGAGTCACCTCACTAACCAGGTCCTCAGGCAAACCGTCACCCCCAAGACCCACCCCTCCCACTGGGCCCCATCGGTGGCCTGCCACCCAACACCCTGCAGAGCCCCCACCTGCCCCAGAGCTCACTGCAGCTGAGACAAGGTACAAGGAGCTGAGGGAGCTGTGCTGTGGACAACAAGCTAGCAGGAGGTGGAGGGTGAATTGAGGCCCATGTGACCCCCATGCACAGGAAACAGCACAAGATAGCAGCTTAGGGCTCAGGACGTGGAACCGATATCTTCCAACCTCAGCTTGGCCGACCATCTTCCTGACTTTGCCCACATTGCCTAGCCTCCCTGAGCCTCAGTTTCTCCACCTGTAAATGGAGTTCATAATTCTCAGCCAATAAGGTAATGGACCTTATTAGGTGAAAGCCCCCACCTTGGTGAAAAGACCACATTAGGTGCCGTGAATACACTTCTGGTAAGTGCCTGGCACATAGTAGGTTCTCAGTGAGGTCATGGGTGAGTCCCAAAGACTAGGGCTTGGGCAGAGCTGAGACCTACAGGGCCATGTGCAGACTGCCCACACTTGCTGCTTCTCAAGATCACTGGGAACTGACTGTATTGTGACAGAAAATGTTGTTACAATAAAAGACAGCAAAGGTGAGGCACTCAGGCACAAGGCAACAGTTGCAGAAGTCAACACCCACAGCCCAGCACCCCGCCCTTCCCAGGGCTGGGGAGGGAGATGAGGCAGGGACACACACCTTTCCACACACAGGTCCCAGGTGCTGTTAACTCATCAGCCTGCATTCAAACTGGAGATAAAATCAAGGTGTTCTTCCCAAGGAAGCTGCCATTTGTGTGGCATCATGGAACCAGGGTCACGACAAGCTCTGTTCTTCCCAAGCGACTCTGGTCACCCCGGGGCCTTTCCAAGCCCTCCCTTCAGTCTGTCTCCCAAAGCACCTTCCCTCCAGCCCCTGGGGTGCTCTCACAATGAGCAAAAACACAGCCATGGTCCAGAGGGGAAAGTTGGGATGTGGAGCCCAGAAGCCAGGCAAACTGCCCCTGGCAGATTCCCTCTTCCGCCAGCAAACTTTTCCCTAGTCCAATAGACATCGGCCCCTCTCTCTTCAACTCCAAGACCCCCTCCTGGCTGACCCCTCTACTGTCCTCTGGCCCTGGGGCTGGATGTCTGTTTGATCTCACTGAGGCTTTAGCAGGTGACAGAGGCCCAGGACAGGAAACTCACACCTCTTCCCTAAACCTCCACCCCCGTGTGTCCACTTCGGGCTTGGTGTTCAGACCAGGTTTCAAGGAAAATAAGAAGCCTGGCCAAGGCCTTCTTGAACCCCACGTCCCCTTTCCCAGCAGACACAGGAATTTTGTTCCATTTGGTTCAGTGAACAGCTATGTGTGGAGTCCATGAGGGGACTGTGGATGTGCCCACAAGGAGCCACTGTCCCCTAGGGAGATGGCCATGGAAGCCCACAGAACAGCCTCTGGGAACAGAGAGCATAGGGGCCAGGGCCTTGGAGTGGAAACGGCTGATGCAACGGACAGAAACCCAGGGGTCCCAGCAGGCATGGCCCGCAGGACACGAATGTGGCAGCCACCAGCAGCGTGCCAGGCAGAGACTTCTAAGTGGGAAGTGGGGGAAGGCAGGCACAGGCCACCAGTGATTTCCGAGGAGGTGAAAGGTGTACCGAGACACTTGATGCTGGATGTGATCAAGGGAGATGAAAAATATCTCAGAAGCTTCCAGAAAGTGGGGCCCTCTGTGGTGGGGCACTGCCCACACCACACCAGGTAGAAACCAGTGGGAATCAGTTTCTCTGGGGTCCAATGGTCCTGACTGCCAACCCAGCCCTGGCTGGTGCTGTGAGGAAAACCCAAAATGACAAGTCCCCCCAGCACAGACCGTGAAGAGAGGCAGGCACCCGAGGGCAGGGCACCAACCACAATCAGAAAGGGGAGTGGGTGTCAGTGGTTCCCAGAGAAATGACCACCCTCAGGAGAGTGGAGGACGCACAACCTGGAGTGTCCAGTTTGGAGCAGCTAGTGTGGTCAGTGAGGGGAGTGAGGGGCTGGGAGGCTTGGAATGAACCTCGGAACTTGGGGAGCACAGGCGCAGTGGGCAGGGCATGGGCAGGGACACTCACACGATGAACTCCGAGAGGTTGCACCACTTCCAGACCTCTACCTTCTTCATCTTTTCAGCGAAGGTCTTGCTGCAGTGGGGCAGCATGGCCAACATACGCTTCTCATTGCAGCCACCCACCGGAGGAGACTCCCCTAGAGAGGAGAGAGTTGTGAGCATCACTAGGAAGGCTAGGTGCCGTCATGAACCTGAAGGCACGTGCTGATGCCCCTCAAGGTCAGCTGGGGGTCTTCTTCCATCACCTTGGCCTCCATGTAACTCAAGAAGGTTGAAGCCAGTGCAGAAAAAGGAACCCACGTTGAGGTGTCACCGAGACAGGACCCAGAGGGGTCACAGAAAGAAGTCCTCTAGTGAGGCATGGAAAGAAACAGGCAAGGGGAAGGCAGCATGCAGAAAGATGGGGGTCTTGGGAGTGGAGAGGCTGAGGGAAGATGGGTTCCAGTGGGATAAAATATAGGAGAGGACTTCCCTGGCGGTCCAGTGGTTAAGAATCTACCTGCCAATGCAGGGGACACGGGTTCAATCTCTGGTCTGGGAAGGTCCACATGCCATGGGGGCAAATAAGTCCGTACACCACAACTACTGAAGCCCAAGCACCTAGAGCCCATGGTCTGCAACAAGAGAAGCCACTTGAAAAATGGCAATGAGAAGCCCCTATGTCACAGCTAGAGAGTAGCTCTCATTGGTCTCTGCAGCTAGAGAAAGCTTGCATGAAGCAACAAATACCCAACATAGCCAAAAATGAATAAATAAAATATTTAAATAAAATAAATATATAGGAGAAAGTCACTGTGTCCTTGTATAAGATGAAGTCTTCTCATATGACACTAAAAATACAAACAAAAGAAAAATACAGAAATTGAACTATATCAAATTTTTAGACTTTTGTGCATCAAAAGATACCATCGAAAGAGTGAAGACATCCCACAATGAAAGCAAATATATGAAAATCATATCTCTCATACAGGGTTTATATCTAAAATATATAAAGAACTCCTATGACTATTAAACAAAAGCAATGACTCATTTAAAAATTGGCAAAAGGGGAATTCCCTGGTGGTCCAGTGGTTAGGACTCAGTGCTTTCCCTGTCAGGACCTGGGTTCAAACCC